ACAACTTCATGTCTACATTTGGGTTTTTTTTACCAAGCAATTTAATAGCTGTGAAATATTTAGCGGTATATGAAATCATGTACAATCCCTAAGAAATTACATATTTGTCATATATACTTCTACCTCCATGGTTTAATCTGTCTTCAGTAATGTTTCCTTAACCAAGAGTTTCATTATAGCCTAAGAACGGAGTAGTCCAAGTAATTGTTAATAGTACAGTGGAAATCACCACATTACACTGCCTTTAGGGAAGAAACAGTTCAATTTAACTGTGCAATAAAGGTTATCTTTGCACCAAGGAATACCTTCCAAACAATTGAGAGAAGCAGCAAACTTCTGGAGGACAGAAAATTTTAAGATGCAACACCTGATCTGGCCAAACTTCAAAATGAAGTTATCTGTAAATGCTCCAGAACATGACACCATTCAAAATAAAATAAAAATTAAAAAAAAAAAAAAATTCTCAGCTTGCTAAGTACCTTTCTGCCAAAACAGACATTATTTCATTGAATTCTCTGCAAAGTCCTTAAAAAAAAGATAGCAAATACTGTCCTGGATTTGGTGTAAAACTTGCCAGAGCACAGTGGAAGGGGGGGGGGGAAAGCCAATGCCCTTGTATCCTGAAGACAGTATTTCCTACTAGACAGGAAATAGTGCAAGACCAATGACCAGTTCCCAAAATGTTGACACATTACAAGATGACACTAAAGAAAATGAAAAGAGCACACACGAGAACATTTTGAACTGCAAAAGCAGCAATTCATTAATCAGAATTTGGGGACAATTGATGTCATTGCACAAGGCTGAAACACTGCACATGAATCTGACTAACCATGTTCAGGAAATACTGGAATAAGACTTGAGAAGAAGGGCCATGGCAACAGAGAGCTTATAAAAGGAGCCTGAAGAAAACCAGTTTATGTAGTGTAGTAAACAAAGGTGGAGAAGGGACTGTTGCCTATAAATAAGTCAGGGCAGTAAACATCAGCAAAGAGTGCTATGTCTGATAAAAAGCAGTTCTGGACCAGAATAAATGCATGAGAACTGACTGTGAATAAATTCAGACCAGAAACCAGAAGCTATGCAACCATCAGGTTGTCCAGAGGGAAGCCCACCTACTTTAAGATGGAGATTTGTCAACTGATTACATCGAGTGGGCTTGTAACAGCAGAGGACTGATTCAGTGATCTAGAAGGACTTTTGTTTTTTAATTTGTATATTCTTAGTGGCTGCCTACTTGGTCATCTTTCTTCCAGCTCGAGAAGTCATCTCCAAGATTGCTGAAGCAATGAAAACCTCCCACTTCCTCTCCAGGGACCAAGCAAAATTCAGAGAACATGCAGCTTCTCACACCTTTCCATTTTCTCAGCAGGGCTGCAAAGAGGCCAATTTGATCATCATGTGCCATGAAACATTGTTCATTCTCATTGTATGATAGGCAGTAGCAGAGGAGGGTCACAGAAGATATGTGACAGATGCTACCGTGTTCTACCCTCTGCAGTACTACAGCTGAGGAGTAATTAGGCACATTAGATGGTGAATTTCAGCTGCTAACTGCATCAGTCTGGGCTTAAGAAAGGAGAAGAGATGGTTAACATCAAGTGATTACTTCTAGTCTCTGTGGATCCTCACTTCTGAATGAGAGCTTGCACTGCATCTTGTAAGCAGCTAGTAATGTTCTCTCTACACTTTGGGTGGCCCAAGGACCAGCAAATGCAGACAACAAAACACCAGCAAGCACTGCTAAGAAGCTACAGCCAGCCAGCACTGCTAACTTAGCACTGTACTGGGCTAATGTGGTTCCACCAGGCCTAAACAGCTTCTGGTACATTTATCAGCACAACCAAGTTGTCTTTGGTTCCTATTTCATCTCAGTCTTGGCCTACAGTGTTAGCCTTGGCAAGACAACTTAAACACTCATATTCGCTCCTTAGGCTTCCCTATGGACAGTTTGGCAGCAACCTCTTGGTAAGGAGGGAGGCGAAACTGAACACAGCAAGCTGTTTGCAAGAGCCCCCCCGGCCTGTAACACTCGCATCCTCCAGCATAAAGTACTGTAACCCTTCACAATGTGAAGAGCAAAGCTTGTTGCTTTTTGCTGCACCTTCAGAATGCCATTGACAACAGCACTGCAGTAGTAGCATGTATTGAACATACCCAGTAGTAATTATCAGTATTGCCTTTGTTAAACTCTTTCCATTGCTACACCACATGACATACCATCTGTTGCTGCCAAAGAGACATCAAGAAGAAGGAGCATTGGCTTTTCTTTCTGTAATCTGATCATCTCTTACCCTCATGTACCATGCCATAAACCTAACACGAGCCAAGAGAGTCCACAAACAGCTAGAATAATATTAAAGTAGCATGCACTAAATTACCATTAACAACCTCATATTAGATTATTAAATGGAAGGAGCATGTTAACTAACGCATTAACATCTTCCTAACAGATGGTTCAAAGATACTTTGTTTGGAGAACCAACGTAGCTTTTTCAAAAGATGATACTGCCTCATCATACAGGCCTTAAACAGGAATTTAAAGGCAAAATATTGTGTTAGTCAAAGACTGGTGGTGAGGAGAAATAAAATTATTTCAAGAGGCACCTTACAGTGATTCACACTAATTTTCCAGTAACTACATTACATTTTACATTTTTCTATTTCTTGCTCATACTTGGAACCATTTTTCCTTTTAAAAACTCACTCTGAGGCCATGTACCTATCAAGTATAGAAAACATTATGCAAATATTAAGACAAACCACAAATCTTAGAAGATTTTGTGTGTAGTATTTCCTATGCAGCTATAAAGTTACTTTCTCCGTATGCCAAAAAAAAAAAAAGTTTGTATTAGAAGCCCATCTTTCATTTAATGTATCTCAAACTAGGAACACAGGAACTATCATTTAGCCTTGGCAGAACATGTGCATGTGTGTATTTATAAATGTACTTCTTCCACCTGCTTCTTTAATAGTTACAAAAAACATACAGACCCATTTTCTTAGAAATGCTTACCAACTCATCTCTCTATCGATACAACAAAACTTTGTTAGTTTCGTCCTAACTATTGGGTATAGCAGCGATACAACACTTAGAATTTCCACAGCATACTCCATCTCAAGATCTCCTAAATAAGAAGTGGTTCTCCAAGCTCAGATGAGCTCAATGGATGCCCTTTGAAGTATCAGACTTGTAATAGGTTATTCTATTTCTTCAACTGAAGTGACTCTCACGTGGCAAACAGAGGCTGGGAAGGTGAGGCAGGGAAGGCAGTGCTCTTACTGCATCCAGGAGGACATCTACTGGTTGCCTTGGTTGGCCAGAGTTACTCCAAAAAGGGACCTGGTGTTTCCTGCACACCAAAGCTACCACAGCAGAAACCTACACCACTGAGATGTCTTCTGGCATCACAGGAACTTGGCACAGAGCTGAGATTGAGGCTTTAGACACGGGTTTATTTCCTCTTCATTGAAGTCAAGATTGAAGCTTCTTTGAATCATGCTTTATATCAAAATTTACCTTCTCAGATAGCTGCCACCCCACCTCCAGCCTGGTGGTTCTGCAGGTTCTGTGAACCTCTGTACCCAACAAGAGAATATCAGCCTACATTAACTTTCACAAACATCCTGAAGTCCATCAAGTGTTAAACACCGCATATCAGTGACCTATGAGAAGTTTCTTGAACTTTTCTGCACCCCCGAGGGTCCAGAAAAGCTCTGCAGTAGACCTATTCTTGGGTTTTGGTCTCGAGAGGAATTCTGCAACAAACAGCCTACAGATGAGCTCATTTTACCTTAACCCTACCATCCCCATAAGCGTGAAAACTGCAAGGCAAAAAAAGCAATTCAAGAAATAAGCAGCCACTCTCCATTCAACAGATTCCCTCCCCCCCCCCGCCCCCCCGCCCAAGGATTCATGACTGCATTTGTATCACTCTGATCCCACTGGATTTCATACTAAGCCAAGAAAAACAGTGTTCACAGACACTATTGCCTCATCACCCAGGTATGGTAAAATCTCTTTAGTGTCTGCTGTGTTCTTATCTATTTTTACCTACTACTAACTCATAGCACAAAGTAAATTCTGTGTTCTTCTCTCATCCTCTGACAAATGCCAGCTACTTCTGGGCAGTGGATATTCCCCAATGGGCAGAGTTACCTATGAACCCCATCACAGAACCGCCAGCAGGAAAATCTGGCTTCTCGTACCCCACAGGTTCCTCTCATTCTTTGAGCAAACCTCTCTGCTATCAAAATACAAAGATACAAGAGCCTTTTTACATCTTCCCCTCTGCTAGTCACAGCCCGGTGCAATAAACAATAAGCAAATCTTTACATATTCTAGGTGCCAATTACACAGCCACGTAGCCAGGAGTGTTCCAAGGAACGCTTTCCTACTATCAGTTCAGGTTATAGCCACACGAACTACGACAGAACTGCCGTCACCATCACTTATTTACCTACAAGTGTGCTGACCACTCACCAAGCTCAAGCACCCCACAGTGGATGCACTCAGGAATCCAGAAATTGCAGTTTACCAGCACAGTGGTGATGTTTCTGAGCTGGTTAAAATCATAGCTGCGGTCAAGTTAGGTTTAATTACACAGTATATTAAGAAATAATACCTCAATAAACATCTTCCTCTTGCAGGCAGAAATAAACTTCAACCAGCAACTGCTGCTCTCCTCTCCCCACCACAGGCACATCAGGAACGTAACCCACATGCGCATCTGCTTCCATGGGAGCAGGTAAAGCAAACACTGTCTTACAGATGGAAATGACAGCGATTCCCTTAGTATGCAACAGCTCTCTAAGGCACGCGAAGGTACAGCTCAACAGGAAGGCCTGAGGTTGCCCTGCGGTGTGACTGAGCAGCCCGTGCGGCAGGGGTTGATCAGGTCACTCCACAGACACAGCACTACTTTCCTTAGCAGGGGGGCAGAACCAAACCCCCACTCTACCTTCCCTCGTCAATAAAAAGCGAGCAGAACTCCTCCTACCTGAATTCGGGGATGAGGTTTGGCCGCAGCCCATAGAAAGCCGCCGAGAGAGTCACTAGCCAGCCAGGTTTGTAATTCCCATTCTCACACTCCAGGTATGGTGAGGACCACCTGATGTGGTTCTTATCAGCAGCAAAGCTCTCCCGCCTCTTCCAGCTATTCTCCAAAGTTTTGGGGCCCGTGTTTAAGACCTTCCTGTGCAGATGTGGCCTCCACTTGCGCTTCAAGCTGTGGAACCACTCTGTTTCCACAGAAGCATTGGCCAGTCGGTGAGCTGAGGAGGACAAGTCCTGCAGGAGAACCTGGCTCTCATGCCTGCTGGCCTGGAGGAAAACCTGGGGAGTGGAGGAGAAAGGCTCCGTGCTGAAAGTGATAGCTGCCCTGGAGATGTTGGGGTCCTCCTCCAGCAGGCTCCTGATCAAGGCGCGGTACCACTCCAAGTCCTCCTGCAAGTTCTGCTCCCGCGACTTATTGCTCTGGAGGATCATGTTGAGTAAGTTGGTGGCGTGGGTGAGGGTGCCCAGGGCCCCGTGCAGGGAGGGGTGCGAGGTGAAGCGCGACTTGCCGGCGAGGCTGGCCAGCTCGTACCGCCCGGAGCAGTTGGCTCGCCGCAACTCCCGGGAGTCGCCCGTGTAGAGGAACGAGGCCACGTCCTGGGGCACCTCCTGGGCGAGCCGCTGCGCCAAGATGGTGCTCTCCGAAGAGCGGCTCCGCGGGGCCGGCGGAGGCTCCCGGCTCTTGATGTGGTTGTAAATAGACTGCGTCCCTCCGAGCGCCCGCTCCCGGCCGCGCACCGCCTGCCCTTGGCCGGCGGCAACCCTCGGTCCGCGCTGGGCGAGGAGCAGGAGGAGAAGAAGCCGGAGCAAAGCCATGTCCTCCGGTGCTGCCGGCAGCGCCGGCACGGCGAGGCGGCTGACGATGGGCTTCGCGCAGGCGGCCGCGGCGCAGGGGCGCGAACGCGCAGGGGCGGCGGAGCGGCGGAACGCGGCCCCGGCCCGCGAGTCACCTGTGGCGGCTCCGCCCGCGCCTCCCCCAGCGCGGGGCGCCGCGCAGCCCCACCGCCGGCGCGGAGCGGCGCGCAGCCCCTCCGGCGACGGCAGCGCCGAGCCCGCCCGCGCCTCCTCCCGCCGCGGCCACCGCGATCACTGAGCTGCTGCTGCTGCAGCCCGGCGCATCGCGCAGGGGCGGCGGCGCCCGCGCCCAGCGCAGCGGCGGGTCCCCCCGCGGCGCCCCGCCGCCGCCCGCGCCCCGCCGCTCCGCATCCTTCGGGCGCCGCTGCCGGAGAGGGGGGCCCGCGGTGCGGGACTGCCACTTGCTGCGGGAGTCGGCGGGCGGGGCTGCTGCGGGGGAGCCAGCGCTCGGCGCTCCGAGCGAGGACACCCGACCGTGGGAGGATGCTCTCCGGGCGGCTCCGCCACGGGCACCGCGCGGCGCCCCTCGCCGCCGGCCCTTATAGGTGTACGCCAGGCAGCGGCCGCCCTATGTGGCCACCTCGCCTGTCAGTCAGCCGACAACCACTCACGGGGCAGGAGGACGGCGCCGTGCAGCGCTGGGGGAGGCGGCGCTGCTGCCGGCGTAGAAAGAGGCGTCGAGGTACCTCGCGTTACCTGTCGCCAGCTCAGCGCGGGGCGGAGGCGTGGGAGGCGCCCGACCCGCCGGCACCGCTCGGCTCTCCCCAGGGTCGGGGACGGGGAAGCCGCGGGGGCTGCGGCGCGCTCGGGGCTGCCCGCGGAGGGGGGCAGCGACCCCTGGTGTCCGGGCGAGGGGCGGCGCCGCTCGCTCTGCGCCCCCGCTCCGGGGGCGAGCGGAGGAGGGGGTGCCTGTGCCCAAAATACCTCCGCCTCCCTCCGCCGCGGGGAGCGGGAGAAGCCCGGGGAAGGCGGCTACAGCGAGATCTGCAGCGTGGGCTGCCGCCTGTCAGGGCTGCGTGCCGCCGTGGGGAAGGCAAGGTTGCCTCCAGCGGCGCTGGGGGTGGGTGGCGGGGACGCGGATTGCTCTTCGGCTTCCCTCTGGACGCGTGGGCCCACCTGGGCTGCCCCCGGGGGAGGAAGGAGGCGTTTGGCTGAGGGAACGCCAAACGATGTTTGGGTGGGAATGGGCGACTCCGCCTTGTGAGATATCCGGGCCCACATCCAGGACATCCACATGGCCCGCGGGCCCCTCGCATGGGCTGCCCCTCCTGCCCATCCTGCCTCACCTGCCCCGCATCCCACTGGAACGGGCACTGAGCCACTCTCCCTGCAACTACAGTGGCTGGCTGATTGCATTCATATAACTATGATCTTTTCTTCCTGTTTCCCTTTAGTGTTTTAACTCCAAGGTGCTAATTCCTAGTGCTGTTTTCAAAACTAAGCCCTTAATCCAGTGGCTTTCAACTGACCGGCAGAGCACCTGTGTGGAGCCAAAGCAGCAGAGGCTGATCACTCTGGCTTTCCTCCTGCTCTGTGGAAAACCGCCTTGGAATAACACAAGTGCATAGAAGATGTAGTTGGGATTTTCCAGATAAGCCATCATGACCCGTGATAAGGATCTAGTTTATCGAAGCATTTGCTCATGTGTTTAACTTGGTGCATTTTCTTTGGCAGGAGTATTCATCTGCTCAGTATCTTGCTGTTGGATGAGGAGTTTGTGACAGGAGGCAGTTAGCAAAGAGTGAATTTTAGAAAAGGTGGTCCACAGCAAAATCTCCTAACTGCAATTAATACCATTCTCGTTTAATATAAAATTCCATTTTGGAACTCAAAAGTGCAGATGAAGAGAGTAGTAAAAGAGGATCTTTTTTTTTTTTTCCTCACACACACACACACACACACGTGCATGCACATCCTATAAAGAACAGATTTCAGTCATGCAGAATATATAATCTAATTTTAAACCACTGACAAAATATATCTGCTCCTTAAAGCGTAATCTTATTTCAGAAATGTTTGAAACTACATCTAATGGAATAGCCACGCTAACATAGCTAAATATAAATTACATTTATCCTAGGACATATAACATATGATGTTATCCCATTATTTTTGCCTATGGACACCTTTAATAATCACAATATCTCATGTGGATAAGAGAGAAAGTTATAAATACTTTTTTTCCTCTTGTTGCATGCAATTGAAGAGGATATTCACTGCCTAAGAATGATTTACTTCTACTGAACTTTCCCTCAAGTGAATAGTCAGTGAGATTATTTAGAAACTGTGTATACTGAGCAGCTCAGAAGCTGGTATTTACAGTTTAGCACAGCACAGGGAATCTGTGCTTCCGAATCTGCTCTGAGCAAATACCTAAAGATGCACCATTTACTGTGGATAAGAGAGAACCAGGGCTTTTGACAGCAGCAGCCCTCAGGACTGAGCTAAGATAAGATGGGATCTGCTACATGGGGAGATATCAATGGCAACATAAATAAACAAGCATTTTTTTAATGGTGTACCTGTGCTGATTCTCTTTATTGACAGACAAGGGATGTTCTAAAGGGAATGTATGTTCCCTGTTGAGAATTCGCTTCCCCTGCCCTAGCCTGACTATTAATACCTATCTACATTGCACTAGACCTGCTAAATATCCACATTCACACATTCTCAGGATAATCAAATATCCCCTTGATGTACTTGCATAGTAAGTCCCTTCTATTTCCCGATGGCCCCATAGTCCTTCCAAATACCCCTCTCCAGTAGCACCCACTGATCCCCCACCCTCTTGTCCTTCACTGATAACCCCAGAAGTGTACTTCTTAATCCAAAGGTTTGCCAGGAGCCAAAATGGGTTAGTGCACAGCTCCAGCTGCTGGAAGTCTCTCCCTTAATGTCAAGCATTAGAAGTCTCTCTTTCCTATTTTATTGGTCTGCTCTGTGTTTGTGCTCTCTGCACCACTTCTTTCGAGTCAGAGGGAGAGGATGAGAGGTTAGCTGGAGGACTTTCTCATTAAGGAAGCCAGGATCATTGTTGAGTCTTGTACAGCTGCATCACAGAGGGTTCAAAGAGGCTTTCGTTATCCTTTAGGGCTTCCTCCTGCAGTCAGTTCAGACCTGATCCCAAACAGCTACTTGTGTACAGCCAGGTTCAGTATGAGACACAAACAGATTTTAAGCCACTGCAAATCTGCAGCTTCTTATAGCTTTGTAAATACTATGCTAAGGGACCCAAAGCCTGCCATTAATTGCCCAGATCCAGGGAATTGGCAGTATGGAAAGATAACATCCTCCTAGATTAAAGAAATTACCCAATATTTTATTTATGTGAGTTTACTAAGGGTTGGAAGAGGTGTAGGAACCTTTGTTCTTTGTATTTTTATTTAGTATTAAAATGTGCTGGTGGTTCTGGACTGTCATTTGTGATCAGCTGTCAGAAATCTGTTCATCTGTGACCAGGACAATGTGAAAATTGATTTGGAAAAATGGATGAGTCCCTGAGATACAAGATTACTGTGGATGAATAATGTTTCCTATGCTTCTGCCTCAGTTGTGCCAGAGGTGCTGCATCAACCCATCCCCTGGCGAGGAATCAGGAGCCATCTGACCATTGCCCTGAATATTTCTGAGTTGTTACAACTGTTGCAATTGGTGCATGCAATGTACTTGTGCATGAAGTGTCTTGATTCACTTGATTCTATACCTATCAGGATAGAAGTCAGCTCTACCTGAGTCTAATTACAGTGTAGAAAAAATAGAAGTGCAAAGTGTTAGCTGTTTTTAACAGACTGGAGTAAGCGTAACCTACTTTCTTCAAATAAGGCCTATACAAAAAGATCTTGGTTTATCTGAACTATTTGAAATGCTAGAAGCATCAGAATTATTAAAATCAGCATTATTAAAACAAGCTGGAATGAAGGAAGGGCTGTTATAGCTGTGAAATGTATTTAAAGACTCAGTTATTTATTAGTATTTGTTCTGGAGTATTTAGCTGAAATATGGAGTTTCCACAGGACTAAGTGCTAAAACACTACAAAGTGTTGTATTTCTCTCACAAAACAAACAAAATTTTTATCAAAATCATTGCTTGTGCTATTTAAAAACACATGAAAAATAAAGTATTCTCAAAATAAAAATACTTTTAGCTTGATTATGTAAACAAATAATGTTCTTGCAATGATATTTTTGTCTGTCTGATGAGTCTCTTCTGTCTGCCAATAATTTCTGATCCCATTAATTCACTTCAGGTAAGTTTGACAGCAGTCTTCAAGCATCTGCAAGTGTTATGAAAGTCACAGATGGATCAAAGAAAGCAACCCGTATTCATTCATGTGCTGAGGGAAAACCTTCAGAGTGAATTCAACAATTAAATGGTCTCTCCAGTCTTTCATTTGGCCTCTCATATTAGCCAGTGAGCATAAATATACCCCAAAACAGCTGGAGCATACAGGGCAGCTTCCCTACCCAAAAGCCAGGGAACAGCCAAGGGGGCTGGGAGGTGGAACTCAAAAGGACAAGGGGAGTGGGAAGTACTGTTGGTAGTGAACACAGTGCCATGAGGCTTTCATAAACTATGCAAAGAGTGCACAGGGACTGGGAGAAATCCTGGGTTTATTACAGCAGAATACGAGAGAAATAGTGAACACAAATCCATTGGAAACCAGGCTTTGTTAGTTCTCTTGTTTCCTCTCACAAATTAATTAAAACCACCACCTAAATATTTCAGGGGGGAAAAAAAAGAAATATTAAATAGTCAAAATGCAGAGTACTAAAGTTCATAGTTGGAAGTGGATGGAAGAAGTAGCAAAGGTTTACCTGTCAATTAATGTTCGCTTGTAGTGAGAAATTCCAACCCACTGGATATTTTCTTAGAAACATTGGGACTCAAGGAATCTGACAGAACTTATCCAGTAGAGCACTCCTGCACTGCAGCAGGATTACGTACAGCATGACTGTCTCTGGCAGGAGTTTACCTGCCTTCTCTCAGAGAACTTCCAGCCAGGTACACTCCACAGCCACCCAAACTACCGTCTTCCAGGTTTCATCACCTTAGCACCAAGTGTGGGGCAAGGGAATCCTGTAATATACTCAGAGTCTTCTTTACTTTCTTTTTTTCTTTGCCGCCTTCTCAGAGCACATAAACTACTGTCTGCAAAAGACCACTTTGACTTACTCCTTATTTTCTTTATCTGGGCTAAATTAACCAAATTTCTTAGCAG